CAAATAATGAAAGCGCATCTCCGCAAGGAAGCATGGCCACATGTGCACACGCGCTGCAAAGGCACCTCCTCTATCTACCGCCCGCTCCCTCTCCCTTAATACCTCGTTGAGAATGACACTGTTGTTAGGGACGCTGTCGCAAAAACGACAACCGTGAAGGAAAGGCCCTGGGCAAATGAAGTTGTTCCTCAGGCTATAGGAGTTACGAAATGTGTTTACTACAATGCAGCTTCTGTCAACTGGTCATGATCGAATGACACCTTTCAATCAATTCTGCAACTTCCAATGAATGTCGGATGCATGGCCTGTACCCGGACAACATTGAATGATGACGTTTGCCCCTGTTATTGCTTATGTTGGAAGAAAGTATTCTAGCCAAATTTCGAGCGCTGCTAACGAATTACACTGGGAGGGAGCGGCTTTTTGAGCGCTCGAGAATCCCTCGATAGATCTTCGACGCAAAAAACTCCTCCACTAAAAAATGTAGAAGGAAGCTTAACAGACTGTTGAAGTCCTCCGCTTTCCAAAACTCTTCTTCTTTTCAAGGTATTGCCTACCGCGTGCTGTTCAAATGGTTGGGAAATGGAGGAACTGCACCTTTTCATAGAGGGTTTAGATAACGACGGTTTTTTTTTCGAGAATTTCATTTCAATTTTCGGGAATTTTTCAACAAATCTGACCCAGAGACAAATCGTGCCGCCGCTGCCGTTGAATCGGCCGTCGATCGTACACCGGCCGCCCCGCCGTGGGGATTTGCGCATCCTCTGTTTAGGGTGACCAAACCCTGTACAGAATTGAATCCGGAATTCAATCCAGGGACAATACTTGTCGTGTGTAGCGCCCTTTGCCACTGCACTGCATTCACCCGTTAGATAGGAGGAATTTGCGGCGCGAGAAACAGATAACCTGTACAACCAGGCCCTAATGGGGGAGCGAAAAAGAGCAGATCAAAACAAGGTTTCACTCAGTTCTTGGAGATTTCTAGCGACCAAAACTTGAATTTCATTACCTAACCTTGAAGCTCCGTATGACTGATAATAAATGATAGCTTCACAAAACACAAAAACAAAAGTGCTGAACTGTGGACAAAATCTTGGCCACAGATTTTGTCGAACTAACACTAGAGGTCATTACCAATATCAGGTTTAATCGAATAATTTTTAGAACGGTCCTTGAGGTCTAGTTTTTGTAAAAAAAAAAAGTAAGTCATTTATTCAACGTCTTATTAGGCACAAAATAAGAGAGCTAAGAAAGGAAACAAGTTCACAGCGCCATGCTGTAGGAGAAAATGAGGAACTGTGGTATAGAAACCTAGGCCGCTGAATTGTTTCCCGGCCACATCCCGCTGGGGAGGTTCTAGGAAGAATTATTTCACCCAGGTAATCGACAAAGAGGGAACGAAGCTACGTAACACGAAGCTGCTGATCGTTTTCGAGTCAACTCATATTGTTCTATTTGAGCATTACTAAGAGAGACATAGGCGTGGCAGGATGCGATAGCGTCAAATAACTAACAATTTAAAATTGTTGAGTAAAGAATAAGAGGTGGTTCGTTTCGCCTCTTACTCAGACGAACCACTTATTGTTTCTGACAACCCATAATGTATTATGGGTGGACAAAAACAATATGTCAATGAAAGGATACAGTGTTAGTAGAGATGATGAATTGTTAGAAAGTAAAAGTGAGAAGAAAAAATGTTTTTGTCAACCCTTGAGGCTCATCAGTGAGTAGGGTTGCCAAAAACAGTTAAAAGGAAGAAGTGGTGATTAATAAATAAATAAAGAACTAAAGAGGAGGTAAGTAAGTAAAGAAGAACAATGAGAAACAATGAGAACAACCTAACAACCAAAAACGACAAAATAAACGACGACGACGAGAACAATGAAAAAATGAGAAACCACTGTGTTAGAGTGCAATATTAGGACAATATCGAAAAAACTACGTTTGATACTCAGGGCGCCCGTCAGCGAATCCTTTATTTGTAATGGGGCAAATTATTTATGCATGTTGATATGTGCACAATGTAAAAGGAGGAAATAGGGCTGATCGTAACTAGAATAGCAGTGTGTAGAGGGAATATAAGAATACCATTGGAAAAAGAATAAAGACCGGTAGACTAACATAACTAATATGTTAAAAGATATAACAGAAAATATTATATAGTTTAGCTAAACAGAAACAATGGAAACAATAAAAGGCTAATTATTAACGATATTTTCAACCAATACGGAGATAGCCTTAATATTATTATCAAGAGCAAACTTATAACTGATGAACTTGTTACGATATACACATTGTACAACACTGGCTAATATGAACTCTCTTATAACCATTGAAGAAGGATGTCTATCATCTCAATGAGTTTTATATTAAAGTTGTCAAAGGTGCTACAAGTGTGGATTTGCGCATCCTCTGTTTAGGTGTGACCAAACCCTGTACAGAATTGAATCCGGAATTCAATCCAGGGACAATACTTGTCGTGTGTAGCGCCCTTTGCCACTGCACTGCATTCACCCGTTAGATAGGAGGAATTTGCGGCGCGAGAAACAGATAACCTGTACAACCAGGCCCTAATGGGGGAGCGAAAAAGAGCAGATCAAAACAAGGTTTCACTCAGTTCTTGGAGATTTCTAGCGACCAAAACTTGAATTCCATTACATAACCTAAGCTCCGTATGACTGATAATAAATGATAGCTTCACAAAACACAAAAACAAAAGTGCTGAACTGTGGACAAAATCTTGGCCACAGATTTTGTCGAACTAACACTAGAGGTCATTACCAATATCAGGTTTAATCGAATAATTTTTAGAACGGTCCTTGAGGTCTAGTTTTTGTAAAAGAAAAAAAAACAGGTAAAAAAAAGTAAGTCATTTATTCAACGTCTTATTATGCACAAAATAAGAGAGCTAAGAAAGGAAACAAGTTCACAGCGCCATGCTGTAGGGAGAAAATGAGGAACTGTGGTATAGAAACCTAGGCCGCTGAATGTTTCCCGGCCACATCCCGCTGGGTTAGGTTCTAGGAAGAATTATTTCACCCAGGTAATCGACAAAGAGGGAACGAACCTACGTAACACGAAGCTGCTGATCGTTTTCGAGTCAACTCATATTGTTCTATTTGAGCATTACTGAAGAGACAAGGCGTGGCAGGAGTGCGATAGCGTCAAAGATGCCGCTTGGTGCCATTACTAAAGTTTACACGTCCGCTGGCAAACAATGATAAAGTAAGAGGAGCTAGAGGATGCGCCACGCATTTGATAACCATCCTGGAGTTATAATAGCGTTGTCGGCGTATAATGGTTTTGTCAACCAAGGTCAGGGCGCGTTCTTCTCCAGCTTATATCTCAATAGCAATTAGCTTTCAGTATCTGAACAAGGAAAGTAGTCCCTGTAATATATGCATCGTAATTATGTGTAGCGCTCAGCTATGGCTTGAGTCATAAGTTAATGATTCTGCTGAATAAAAAAGAAATGAAAGTAAATGAAAACATTCAGTGCTGAACATTCCTTGGCAAGTGTCACGCATTCTACTTTTACTCAGAGCATATGGTTTTAACCAATAGAATAAGCTGATTAAGCTAACATACGCATAATGAATGTGGATACCGAACTGACTGATGATGAAAGAGAAGCGAAGCGAACCGAACATAAAGTCCTTACGACGGAGACGAGAAGGACGAGGAGACGAATAAGACAGGAAGGCCTGCGTGGTATGAAGGGACATCACTCCAGGATTCGATCCGTGGGCCGCAGGTGTGACAGCAGCACCTCTTCCCACTGCCCCAACTCTGACATACACTGCTTTTTTTCTCTTGAGCATTTGATGTAGTATCTCTTAGTATTGTGCTGTCCCGGAGCCTCATCAGGACCTAAATTTGTTTAACACAGAGAAGCTCCAAAAGTTTTATTCCGAAAGAATTCCAAAAGTTCACAAAAGTCCAAATACTCCGAAAAACAAACCAAAAAATCTAAGAATTCCTTTTTAAAACTTCCGCGATATTTCGGTGTAACACCTTCGATATTTTCCTGTTTTCAAATCACGCTAACCGCATCACAATGACATTTCGTTCTGCTTCAATTGATCGTGCGCGCGCAATAAGTAAACATTCTCCATCAATGACCAGTCCAGAAGAAATTTGAAAAAAAATGAGGAACAACAAGGAGGAAAAAGAAAGTTTCAGAACAATCCTTCACACACCCATCACGAAGGAACGACAGGTGAGGGAGGTATGGAATAAGACCGCGCTCGTGTCCTGATTCCGCGCAGTTTTGAGAACCTGAAAGCGCCAAGCCGGCTGGCCTGCATGACCCATCATATCCCGCGGACTGTATATAAGCTACAAAAGCCGACATAACATAACCTAAGCTAAAACTATCCTTGCTACCTGGTATTTTCTGCATACGGACCACCGTGTTGTGTCTGCTTCTTCGGTGACATGTGGAGCTCAAGTGGGAGACGTGGCTAAGGTTCGATGGGAAGGCCGCAGCTACAAAGCAAAGGTGTCTATGTGAGTTCTTTTCCTATCTAGCCATCCCAACATTCTTTTTAGGTGCTGTTCATAGGACACAAAGAGCTGTGCGAAATGAAGTCCGCTTCGGTTACCACAGATGGGGAACTGGTGGAGGATTCGCTTGATGTCTCAAGTGTCAGCGTCCCTGCTGCCAGCCCTCGTCAAGAGATTTCAAGGGAGAGCACTCCTGGGTCAGGCCGCTGAGATACGAGAGCTAATCACGAGAGTGATTGAAGTATCTGAAAGCAACTGTTTGTTGAGGGACACGATGTTAAGGATGTACTGTGCGGTTGCTACTTCAAATATTCAGTGAGGTCGATTCATTCAGGAGTTCGATGATCGCTTCACTAACTCAACAGCAGGCAAGGACGGACGAGATGTTAAAGGAACTCCTGAAACGGATCCCGGCGAAGTGCTCTGACAGTGAGCTCAAATACTCCTGATGAAGGAAAATTTTTTTAGGAGATTCCCTCAAAATCTCTTCTTCAGTACAATGGAGTCTCGTACGCGCAGCCGAAAACTTGCGAATAAACTCAAATCAAAGGAGAGAACCGCACCGGCTTCGCGCTTGCTTTAGAATCGGTAGTTTACAGGAATGACTTAGCAGAGCTAGAAATTCCAGTGGACCAGCGCGTCCGGTCTTACGACCGCGTGTTGTTCATTCAGGAGGTATGATTTAAGAAGCATACATAAACCGCACACTTCATTTTTAGTGCGTGTTCAAATACTACGACGTACCTGATCGCCTCCAAGTTGACGTGTGGAAAACAATCAAGGAAGCTCTCAACAGCAGGGTGAGACGCCGCAGAAAAGCGCTACGAGATCGAAGACCAGTTTTGAATCCGGGAGGGTCCCACGTGGACGAGTTACTCTATGACATGATCCCTTTTGATTGATTATTGTGCACGGCATCTTAGCTGTTCGATTAAATTCCAGTACGGTTGGATTCGAATACATTTTACGCAAACCATGAAGGAAAGTGGTTCGTATGCCAGTTCGGCCGTTCTTGGCAACACATCTCATCAACCTCCCAGTTGACCCAATGGATCAGGCCGAACGATCGCTGTCCTAGCCGTCTCTTCACGCGATGGGAGCGTCCGGCTATCTCAGCTTGGGATAATTGTCCCTTTCTTTCAGTGCTCTATGCTTGGGAAACTGAATTGACTCTGCTCAGCATTTCAAGCAAGAGGGTGTCTCGAAGAGAGGTGATAACACCGCGAGGCATTGGCCGTGCATATGTCCAGAGCGCAGGCTAATTACGAGGTCAACGAGCAATTGGTCGCAATGGCCAGTTATAAAAAGAATAAGAGAGCGTAAGTCGAGAAAAAAAAATCAAGTTTTCGATAAGTAAAGTGTATATTGTCAAGTGCAACTCACCGTGTTGAGTAAGGCTGTGTAAATTGAGACGATGGTTCTGTAATCTCTATCCGTGTACAGTTCTTCAAAGTTAGAGGTACTGCCTCTTGTTTTTTTCATCAGAACGCTTTTTCGTAGGTAATTATTCTATACATGAATCGAGATACTGCTCTCATGATTACCTCTTCATCCAAGATGCGGCCCTTCTGTTCATTATCCGGACTCCGACTAAATCTCAAAGATCAGAAATGTCGTAACATTTAAAAAAATTGGCGTAGCATCGCGAGCGGCTTGAACAGGAATCAAAGACATAAAATAGTGCGTGCGCTGAAAACTGCATGTCACTAAACATGGGGGATTCAACGCGGTCCTGCATTGAGACAAATAATCAATTCACAGCTTCATAGTAACTGGTGAACCTACTTAATAAAACCCAACACATTATATATCCTCGGACTCGCCGTAGAGAGACGTATCCATAGAAGTTTAAATTTTTTTGTTTCATTCACTTTCAGCGGAGTTATGGTAGTGCGACGGTCTTTCACAGTCGCGACTGTCAATCAGCGTCATTTTTTCACATTCTGTGAGCGGTATTGTAGTGAGGGCGAAGTGGGTAACAATGCGCTTACCACGCGAGCGGTCCGGGATCAAATCCTGGGTCGTGAGTCGCCCAGGCCAACCAAGCCTTCCATCCCTCCGGGGTCGGTTAATTGGTACCAGACTTGTCTGGGAGGATAAAAACACTGACTTGAACATCGGCTGGCCCCCGCAAGTCATTGTATAGGCCACATCGCATTCAAACGCCACTGCGAATGTACAAATGGAAGTAGAATGCGTGCCGCATCCCAAAAAGGGATTGATCAACGGCAAATGCTTTATCCTTTATCCTTATTTAATACAAGGGTACTTGCTCGCCAAATGAAGCGAATCAGCAGCGGGGGAAATCATTGTTTAAGTTCATCGCAAAATTAGATTGCAAAAGATTGTCTGCTTCTATTCTGACCACAGCAAGTTTTCGAGTTCTTCAAGATAAATCTCTGCTAATCTAATACATTTTATTAGAATGATGTATGAAATGATCTTCTTCGGATCATTACCAACTTGGAGCGCGAAATGAGGTGGCTGGTTATACCCTCAAACATTCTCAGTAAACGAAGTAAGCGATATACCGCGTCTCCTAATTATACAGTCATCTAAAAATTCTTCAAAATCTCGACTTCCACAAAGTTTCTGGAAAAAGTCCTACAGGAAAACTGTGTCATTTGGTCGCGAATTGGAAAATTAACACAAAATCTCAGGTTAAAAACGTAAAAACGCGCAAAAATTTTATCATAATTTTTCCAGATTTGGTCGCTTTTCTAACGTCTACAAATGATAGAGCCACCCCGTGTTCTTCGTCATTTCCTTTCTGCCGATAAAGATTGCGCCTAAACAAAGCGCCAGGTGTCACATGCGCGCCAAGCGAAACTACGGAGATCAAGCCCACAATTTCTTCTAAAGTCATGTAGAAATGGAACCTTAGAAGTCTCCCCGTATCTTACCTCTCAGTTGAGAAAACCGCGACATATACAGCAGCACTGGCTTTCACCAAAGCGTGTTCGGAAGTTGAGTCTTCTTCAAAACTTAAGCTCTTACTGGATAAAGCTCCAAGATCTTTATTAAGTGGAAAGTGAAAAAGACGGCGATTTGAAAAGAAACCGTCGCGAAAAACGGTGTCATTTTTACTAGGGAAGTCTGACGCACGGAGTAACAATCGCGCTAATGAGCACCGCCGCTCACGCGCGAGAATCTCGCGCGTGTCCGCAATTCTGCGAGCATATTCTGTGACCTTGTCTATCCTATCATTGCCACTTAAATGCTAAGTTGGCTAGGTGACTGATAACACCAGAGTGCTGGACATCAGTAAGCCAGCAAGCGTCACTGTAAGATCCCTGCAGTGATTTAAGCCTCGCAGTACAAACTTTGTACCGTGTAAAGGTTGTCCTTTTGGATTTAATTTGACTTCTTTATTAATCAGTTTCCTGAATTTCTATCAGAGAGTGATAATCTGGTTCAATCTGAAAGAATATTGCGTATCAAGACACAGAGTAGCGGCGAGGAAGGCTCTAACATAAGCATGATATGATAAGTATGTAATAACGGCGAGCGAAAACGAAACTGCATTTTAAAGGGTTAGGTGGTTCTTATTCCATGTTTCATGAAGGGAAACATGATCTAATCTTACATTCCCCAATGCTTGGATGCTGAGTTCTTTGCAAATTCGCGCGTTCGCTGCTCCTTGCGGAGATGCGCTTTCATTATTTGTACTGATATAAAATATGTTCTTGATTCCTAATCTTCTCAAGCATACGCTATGCATGTCACTTGCAATCATAATCATACATCATCGAATGTATTCGCATCCACACACCATGAGAGTTGCGCAAGGTCAGCAGTTTTAGCACTTCAGGCTTGGGACACACCTTCGATTCCTGGGGTTTGCGCCTAGAGATACGAACGCGACCTCACTCCACATCTCAGTTATTTGCTTTCGTTCTGATCTCAAGATTATTTTTGGCGGATTTTTGAGGATTAAATCACGATTTACTCGCTCTCATTCTATTTTCTTTGATTACCCGTTGATTGTAGATGTACGAAAAAATCCACAACCATTTGGGCACTATTATATACATGAGGGAACAGGGCAAGTCCATACGCGCCATCGCTGATGAAGTTCAGAAGTTGAGTTTTTGATTTTTTAAGGGTTGCTCCAAGTTATTTGATGAATTTCCTGCAGTTCACCAAATCATATAAGTAATTACAGACAGATCACTCACTGAGTTACATGGCATTATGGAGGTTTCTCAAGAGGTTCGAGCACAAATCCCCCGTTATAAGTGCACCTCGCTATAGGCATGGTTTGTACAGCAATATTCGTGCTGATTCCGCACAACCCTCTAGTCGGTATCTTTTTTCAGAACATCATGCCGAAATTATATCGGAAATCAACCGCTGCTGTCGGAATAACAGCTCTTCAACTTCAACGGAAGTAGTAAGCCGGCTTAAGACCAGGGGTATCTTTGTGAGCTGTGCCACCGTTAGGAGGATTCGAAATCACCTCGGTTTCAAGAAAGCCACCACAAAATACTGCCATGCAATAAGGGATTAAAATAAGTTCGCTAGGGCCAACTTTTTCATGAAAATGCTTGAGGCGGGGACCACCTTTTCCAGCTGGGTGTTCACTGATGAGTGCACGGTCCAGAGTGAGCGTTTTATACTTTTCAAAAACCGGTGCTTGTTAGTAAGTGTTGCGAGTTTTTCTTCTTTCAGTTGACTGCTCAACGAGGTTTTGCTTCGTGAAATCTGGAGACCAGATCTCCAGATTGCGACATCGGGCAAAGCACCCAGCCAAGGTTCATATCTGGGGTGGGATTTCTACGCGAGGGGCTACTAAGCTTGCTATACTGCCGGGAGACCGCAAAATAGATAGCGAGCTATACTGTAGAATCCTAGAAAAGTGCTACTTGCCTTTCAAGGAGCAGGTGTACAACGGTAAGTTTGCGATGTTTTCTGGGTGCTTATCAGGTCTTCCGAATAGGTTGTATAATATCAGATTAGACCATGTACGAGCACACGAGCTTAAGCCCAATTTTGAACCTAGGCTTTGGCTTCCTCTTTTTATGGACAAAAGCGCGGAAAGGTCTATCAAGAAGGGATCCTTGAGAAAGCTGTTGCCTCCTGGAAGTGGTATAATAATTATGTCTTTCTGCAGGGATGCGCTCGGGCCCATGGACCAATGAATCAATCCACTTCTTCGAGACCAGCATCGGCTTAGGATTCGTGATCTGCTTACAGCCCGAATTCGGATTCATTAGACTTCTTTGGGGTTTTATTGAAAAACTACTAAAGAATCGAAATGCAAAAAGTTGTGATTCTAAAAAGAACTGCCTAAAATTTGGAATGAAATATGCGTAGAACACCTCCGCCGCACCATCGACTCGCTGAAGAAACAAATTGAGGCCTGTATCAAATTGATGGCAGCTACTCCAAATCTTTTTTGCAGTTATAAAGTCAAGGTTCGATTATAAAGTCAATTGCTTAAAAATTTATTAAACAAAAGTTAGAACGTGTTTTATGGCGCACGTATTTTTTCGCCACCCTGTATGTGCACGGCGGCTACGAAACTACGGTATCCCCAGCTTGCCCCGATCGGCAGGCGATAGGGGAGATATCCCCGGCTATCGGTGGGCGTGGCCTCTCCCCGAGAACTGTCGGGGGAGCATAGCATACCGGGACGGGGACCCCTCCCCTGTTGGGGGAGCATAGCATACGGCCCCTGTAATAAGCGGAGGAGCGCGGGTAAGTCTGGGCAACGCAACTAACCGTAGTTATTCCGGGGCGGGCCAAAGTAGGTACCTCTTTGATCTAAATACGAACCCCAGGCGTAAAACCCAGACCCAAGTGGACTGTCATAAAGATCAATTCACTTGTTGACCTGCACTCAAATCAGAATTCCATTAGTCAAATCAGGAAATCCAAGCATACCGACCACGGTACCTTCCACCCTCTTTCGCAGCTTGCGACCCATCAATCAACACGGAATCTCGGAAGCTTCCAATTATATGCCGTTTCTTAATGAAAGGACCCCTTCCATTAGTCGACTACCACTCAAAAGGTGCACCTGAGGCATAATTAACCTCGTCCACGGTGTCCCTCACAACAAAGGGATCCATACAAACCAATCCCTCGTGCGCGCAGTTTATCAATCCAAGAACACCGACCACAGTACCTCCCGCTCTCTTTCGCAACCTGCGACCCACCAATCATTATGGCCACTCAAAAGCTACAATTAAATTAGCGACGACACGTCATGTTTGATATCATTTCGCACCGCGGACAGAAACGTTGGTCTCTGGGGTACACAAACCTTCCTCAGAGAAGGCCGTTATTCACCTAAGCGAGACGCCCTTGAAGAAACGTCCTAGAAGAAAGGAAATTTTTATACATCTACAAACCAACGGATGAAACTTTTGATTTAGCTTGTATAGAAGTTCAGAATGGTCAACCTTATCAAAGGCTTAGAAAAATCGAAGTAAACTACATCACAAGATTTCTTTTCATCAAGGTAATCACTCCAAGTCGTTAATACATTCAAGAAGATTTGTTTCAACCGATCTACCAGGGACAAATCCATGCTGGTTGGGTGGTATTATTCCATTTTTCTCAAGATGGGCCATTATGTGCTTCTTAAGAACCTTCTCAAATATACGAGAAATAAAAGAGGTTATACTGACTGGCCTGTAGTTGTCAATAGAATGAGAAGGCTCTTTCTTGAGTAGTGGTGTCACAAAAGAATGTTTCCATCTATTAGGTACCTCACTAAAGCATAATGACTGATTGAATATATAGGCTAGCGGTTCCGCTACTATATGTGCAATCCTCTTCATGAACGCTGCCGGGATGAAATCGGGGGTCAAAGAAAAAGAGTCAGGCAATTCTTTTAAGAGCCGATAAAGTTCCAGACCATCAAACCAAGGGAAATCAGCCATAGGTGTATCAACAACAGGATCGAAAATTGGCAATAAATCATCATTATCAGAAAACACCTGACAAAATTTATCGGCTAACAAATTGGCCTTGTCTTCATCAATGACTGCCAATACCCATCATTTTTCAAACAAGGGATTTTGTGGATCGAACCTAGTTTCCTGTTCAATAATTTGTAAAATCCCTTTTTACTCTTACTATTAAGGATTTTCTTCTCAACATGTATGTTGTATTTCCTGAGGAGGTTATCGAACTTTCGTGAAAAATGATAGAATTTATTCCAGTCATTATCATCCTGGGAATTCTTAGCTGTATAAAATAAACAGTCCCGATGAATAAGCATGTTTTGTAAATAAGACGGAAGGTGAGTACGGAAACCACAAACTCGCTTAAGAGGAACGTATAATTCAATTGCATGTTCCAAAATACTGAGAAACATGTCGTATTTTTCACTGATAGTGCTAGCAGTCTCTAACGAATCTCTCCAGGCAACAGATAAAAGATACTCATTTAGCCCAACAAAATCACACTTCAAGAAGTCCCTACATACCGTAAATTGAGGCTCACAATAGGTGCTTGTTACGCAAAATGATATACTGTTGTGATCACTACTACCCACAGGGGGCTCAATCTTAACATTATTAACCAACGTTTCATCATTAACTAGTATCAAATCCAAGATATTTTCATCTCTTGTTGGTTCCAATACATACTGCTTGAAGTTGTGTGCTAAAAGATTGTCCATAAAAATTGAACCGGTACTTCCCTGGGCTAACGCGACATTTTTCCAATCAATATCAGGAAAGTTGAAATCACCCACAATAACTGAAGGGTGTTCACATATGGAAAGATCACCGATAATATTAGAAAGCTGATCATTAAGCAATGAGGAGCAAGATGGGACCCTATAGACTAAAATGACCCTCACTTTAGTATCTTCAAAATGGATGTCCACGGCTAAAATTTCATATGCCTCGCAAACTGAGTCCGAAAAAACCTCTATATAATTGAAAATGCTCCGCACTAGTAATAACACTCCTCCTCCCTGTCGTCTGTGCCTGTCACAACGCACCGCCCAATAACGCTCAACAGAAATCAAGGAACAAAGCGAATGAAATGAATTGAGCCACAAAACATAATCAAGTCATAATGTCTCAAAACATAATCAAGTCATAATTACAATTGAGTAAAAGGTCAACATAGCTAGAATTTTTAGGTAGGGATCTAATATTGGCAAAGAAACAAGAGATACTATTCTTAATTATCCTAGGAGAAACTACTGGTTTAAAGGTGGAGCATGAGCTATGGGACACAACTGAGAGGTAGAGTTAGCTATGGATTCTTCACAATTCAAAAGAATAGCCGACGACGGAGAATTATTTTGAGGAAGTTGAATGATTTCTAGATTGGCGCAGTTTAACTCGCTCTTCCCTAGTAAGGGAAGGTCTAACAAACACTCCTTTGATGGGGAAAAACCTTAGTCTTGGAGCACTTTGCAACAGCTGAACTTGGAATTTACTCGCGGGTAGTACAACTTTTAATAGGCGAGGAGATCTCGCACTAGCATATCCCAGTCTATGAATAGAAAGAGGTGAACACTCAATACCAAGAAAATCCAATCATACTAACACAGTGGTTGTTATGCAGTAATCTCAACATTAGATTAGAATCAGGGCCTTTCCGCTACACCAGCAATGATAACCGATCTTCGCCTCTCATACTCGACAGGAGAACATGGAGTGCGAGGTTCAAAGTTCGGCGATGTTGAAACAAATGATGTAACTTGTACAGCATTCTCACGAGAATTGTGGGACGGGTTAGCTTTCACAGATGATAGCTTCTGCTTGAGCAATGAGTTCTCATTAAAAAGCTGAATTTCGCGATCTTTCAGAACAGCCAATTCTCGGTCTTTCTTTTTCAAGTTGTCAATAAGGTAAACCAATATCACTTTTACATGAGCCGGGACGGAGTTATCCTCATTCAATAGATGAAGAAATGCTCGTGATATTTGCTCTTCTTCCATTCCACTGTTTTGCAATCCCATTTCAGCACGCCGACCATCATCCTTCACAGCCTGAACAGACAGGGCAGCCGAACGCGAATCCATATCCGAAATACTTCAAACTATGACCTCGACTGGTGGCACGAAAGTAAACAACATCGACTCCTGCCACGCGAAGTCTCACTAAGAAAACAGGAAAAATCAAAAAAATCGATAGCTCCAAGGAGTGAGCAGCTATGCAGAACGAACAATAAAGCAAAAATAGACATCCTTAGGTGGCATATGGTGGGAGGACCGGAAAATATACAATATGCCCCAGCCACAAGGGCAAGCACGATACAACCACAGAGAGCGAAGCGAAGACCAACCGCACGTCAGACCACCAGAGGCAAGAATGATCGAATTTTCAAAATTTCATCGACAAATTATATAAAATTGATATGAAGCTTACTGAGAAACTGCGATCCCTTTTTGCTCACGCTAATATAAATTCATTTAAAAAATACTTATTACAGTGAAACAGATATGGTAAAGTGAAATACACATTTTCAATTTATATGATCAGAGAAGACCAACAACGACGGTCAATCTTCTGATAGCTTTCAAAACTGCTTCGGATCATCACATGCTAAAGAAACGAAGTAAGCTTGACCAGCCTTTTTTTGTTCTGCAAAAAAATTATTTACGCTGATACTGCGCCTGCAAATACCATTTTTGGAACAACTTGAAGTGAACAACCGCGTTCCCCTTTCTTGGGACGGAACATCCCGTACTTGGATGAATGTTGCAATTCATCTCATAAAATTTTGAAAACCAAGGTTATTTCTGACTGCATTCTTCGATAATAGCTTTAGAGCTTTCGAGCCGAGCTGCTGCAGGCGAGTTCCATACGGAGGCATATTTAGAAGATGGGGGAAAATGCAGTAATAAGACCGTAGTAGAATTCTTTTGGGCTTTCTCAATTTTTTGAGTATTTTTCAAGAGAAGGACTCCAAACCGAGCTACAGTACTCAACTAGAGGCAGCACAAACATTTTGAAATGTCTAAACCATACAGCAAGATCAGAGCAATGTATGTTTTTAAAGAGGTGGTGAATCACTTTTAGAGCTCTATTGTAAATTTTGTCTATGTGAGTATTCCATTTGAGGCCTTCTGTCACCGAAATACCAAGACCTTAGTATCACAGGAAGACATGACATAGTACCAAATAGAGGACATTATGCGGAGGGAACTGGCTGTGAGGGCGAATAAATGACTCAGAAAAACTCTGACTGACTCACAAAAATACATTAGAGTTAGGGGAATCCATGGTGGAAAAGGCAGGTCAAGCAAACCCCCCAAGACGTTCGAAACTCAAAAGGGTCACTCCGTGAATAGAATGATCAAACTTTATAAAGAGGTCTAAAGTTACGCCGATGTGCACGGACTTTTCATCTACCACCAACTTAGTAATGACCAAGTTAATGGTAATGGTTTAATTGTACTACATTCTACACAAGAGACATCATGCTCAAACCAGGTATTAGCAAGTATGCAGCCACGTTTTGACCAGAGTGCACATGTTAAGACAAAATACCTCCGTATTTGGCGATAGCGCCAAAATCGATCGACGCAGGGAAACTCGTTCCAATGAAAGTTAGAAAAAAAAAAACACATACGTACATGCAAGGTTTTATCTGCACGTTTAAAAAGTTTTCAAGAAAAAGTAATATATAAATTTAAATAATAATTAAAAGAGGAACCACTGGTAGGAAGAGAATGCAATAAGAGGCTGTAGGGTGTAAATAAAACAAAAAGGAACTTCTTCTAAGGTAGTGAAGTTGGACGGAGAAGATAATTGCTTGCCACAGTCATCCTGAATACAACCATCTAGAATCTCTTTCAACCTAGCAACATACTCTCGGCGCAATGTCTCCCTGCACCTACCGTCGCGACGTTGCCTTGGCAGACCTTCCGAGATTTCAAGTCCTACTCCGCACCTAATGGGGTAACGTAATGATATTTTGACCTGCACGACTTAAAAGCGATTCCATAAGATTTCTGTTCCGAGCCTATCCGTGTGCCGACGATCTTGCTCAGGCGATGCTTTAGGTAATTTCCATGGGGTTGAAGAAACAATAAAATGGTGGTGGTTTGACAAGGGTGACCCCCAGATCACTGCAAATCTTCTCGGTCTCGTTGAAGCATAAGGCCCCGAGTTCCACGAATTGAGTGAGCTAAATATTGTGTAAAGGTGATAGCGGAGATCACTCTAACTTATATGGGACCTCTTCTTCTTATCACGCTGCTATGCGATTTTGACGAAAGAATGTCTTTGTCATCACAATCTTGGCCACCTCTGATTTGTTCTTACCTTATGCAACGCTCTATTGTAGTTTGGAACAGTATCGAACGCCAAGGTCACATTTCGTCCTGCTGCGAAGTGTTTTAATAAAGGGATAGACGACCTCAGCCAGTACTAAAATGACCCGGTCTATTTCGCCGTGATAGTCGTACTGCGCGCTACTGAAGCTAAGGAGGACGTGGTGCAGCCATGTAAACAGCTTTTTCCGATAATCCCGTTATAACAGCGCCGCGCTTCCCTGGTCCCATCGGCAGTCTTCCTGCAAGAATAGTTCCATATCCTTCCAGCCGAGGGAATAACGCGGCATCTTGGTGTCTACCCAGCCCTTCCTCTTCACCATACCTTCAAACACCCACGTCTCATCCATATAGACCACGCAGGACCCCTTTCTCTGGCTCCTTCGCTTTTATCAAATGCGTTTATCGTTTAAGAGACAGGCACGAGCGTTCAAAAATAAACCGCTGTCTCTTGAGCGGCTTGTACAAGGCGAGACCTTTCAACCGTCTACAAAGTGTTTCTCTGACAATCTAAAGTTCGGGTAGGTAGTCAAGATTTGCTGCGGTAAATCTCGAATAGTGACATCTCTCCCTTCCTTTAGCACCAGCCACTTTCAGCGTTCACCCATTGCGGTTATTCATCGCCTCTCTCGACAGGGTCAAGCGAGGCGTCGAGGAAAATTCGGAAATACGACCCCCCCCTCCGAAGGCCGAAGTCCATGAAACAACCCTCTTTAAAAGCCGAACTATGAAAAAGTTGTTTAATTCTCCACCAAAACTGCTCATAAAAAAGCCCTGCTACCCCCATCGTCCACAAAAAAACTCGTTTAAAAAGTATAAAAGTGAAAAAGTCAAAGAATGATCATTAATGACGAGTCCTGTCAAACGAGCAAACGAGAAACGGAGCAAAAAAACGTCAAACTAGTCACTAGAAATGGCGTACTATGACAACACCTCTTCTTTGTTTATTTCCTCCACAAGACTTACCAAATTCTAGTACTACACAGATTATGGTTCTCAATTTACACGTCCCCCTTTCGCTCAAAGGAAGCGACGTTCATAGTCCGCGACGGCCTCAAGCGTGGAGCGATCGCGAATCGCTCCATCGCTTGTCCCGTTCGCCGACTATACGTCGCTCAAAGGAAGCCTTGTAAAAGCCTTCGCCAGCTGTGTGTTGACTGGACTTTGGCGTTGACCGTGGAGCAGCTTATTTACTATTGAAATTTGAACAAATATTCAAATGATTATAACTTTCTTCAAAGTTAACGAATTTTCAATCTGAAAGCTGATTTGGGAGTTTTGTGAAGAGCTTTTTCTAATCAGTACTGAAATTACAGGAAGTTATAAGAAATAACAAATTTAGATCAAATAACGAGGAAAATTCGAGACGAGCACGAGTTTTTACACTTTCCGGAGCAATAACTTGCTTCATTTCCGTCAAATTCAAAAAGTTGATACGTCATACAAAACTAGAAGATTTTCTCTATCAAACGGTCGCTAAAGCAGCTTCATACGTCCAGTACTCAAAAAATGGCCACGTTGAGGATTTTTGCAAAATTAACGAGGAAAATTCGTGATGAGTGCGAGTTTTTACGCTTTCCAAAGCCATAACTCCGTTCAAACTCATGCAATCTGGAAAGTTAATACGTCATCATAAACTAGAAGATTTGCTCTTTCTAGGCAACTAAAACTGCTAAATACGTTCACTATTTAAAAAATGGCCACGTTGAGGATTTTTGCCCGAGTACCGCCGAAAGGTACTTTTTCGCTACATTAGCACTATCCCAACGACTATAGCTCCTTGCAGGAGCGATTACATACTGAAGTAGGAGCAGATTCAAAATCCTCGTGCTTTTCTCTCTGCAAAAAGTGTAAAATTGTTTAGCGGGTCTCAACTTTAAAGGTTACATGCTTGTGAATTTGACGCTGAAGGCTGCGTTTCTTGTTGAATAGTGTACTCCTCTCTGTAATTTAACATGAACTCTTTCAGAACCCTCTTGATTCTTCCTGAATTAAGATTCGTTATCAAGATAGCCGTAGCTGAAGCGCGCGCAACCAACTGGGCCCACTCTGGGATGCGCCGTGTGCTTCACATCTCGTTGGATTTGAGGACCTACTTGAAAGATAAAATATCCCTAGAAAACGTGCGAATTTCGGATCCTTTGACTTGTGTGGTGATGAAACACTAAAGTCACTAAGAATTGCTAAGCGGACACCTCTAAATCACGAAGATTTTGTGTGGACGGAATCAATTGTTATTGGAAATACTCTGGCCTGGTATCGATTCGATCCTTAATGTTTGTCCTCCGACGATGATCCTACTGTATCAATCGGGCCCGATCTCTCCCCAGCGGGCCAATACGACCCCCCCCCCTCTGTGACATGTCGAGGATTCCTCAACGCACGCTTGACCCTGGCTTCGACTGCGCTTCCTTCGCTTCACTGTTGGACTCATTGAGCGACCGGCTCACAACATTTTAATAAAGTAACGGCTCGAACTCACAGTATCACAAACGCCTTCGACTATGATCTAGCCTTGTCGAATATACTAGTTCCTCGAGTTTTAATTCCCTGCTCTTTCTTCATCATTCCGAAACCTGCATGACGTGCGCCATTACGTAGCTGTTTGCGGAACGACCTTGCGTCGTGCTCTTCAAAAGCTTTTCTTTACTCAACAGGCCAGATATCTTCGCACAGTAATTGCGGACCCTTTTCTCTTATGACCACACCATTCGTAACTACGAAGCCGGCCTCACGTTCCGAAAAGCAGGTCTCTAGAGAAGGATACAATGCACTATCACTTTTCAAAAACTACTTACCCTTTCATAGGCTCGTTTTCCCAGTTCTTTCGGTCGCGTCATCCGCTTTGATAGGACAGCAGTAGGCTGCAGTCAGTTTAGAATTTAAGCGAGCTAAAGCGCATGTAAAGACGTGAACAGCACAACAGATTACTCAACATTCAATGTTGCGCGTAGCACTTGTTTTGAATCTACGGACAAAACCTCAGAGATAATCCTGAGCAGATAACTTGAAAAATTAATCTGTGGAACACGATGTAGTGGAAGGGCTTAGAACCGAAGTATGAATTGCAGTTATATTTTTTGATTGACTATTTTACTGGTAAATTATTAGTGGCGAAAAGAAAACAGCATATCTGTTCATGGAAAAGAACCAGCGAAGATCTCTATGAAAAGCGTGATTGGTGTCAGAAAATATTGACTGAACTGGTGCAATGTGATAAGGTAAAGTTTTGATATGTAATAAGGTGAATAGTAATTTATTAATGACGAACGAAAAAGCGATAGTCACAAATGCGAAGCGAAATGAAGCATATATGTTTGCAAAAAGGAACCAAAACAGACAGCACATTCACAAGGCAATCATTAACACATTGACGACAACGCGGGGGATATATATCCCGCGCATTGCAGGCCATGTCGGACCGTGCGGGATATATATCCCCCCCCCATTACACTCATTTTTTTCGCGCACGCCTGATTCTTTTAGAAGTTTCTTGTATTCATTCCATGGAAGAGACCTTGACGTAGCTACAAACATAGTGGCCCTTAGAATGGTCACGTATACTTTAATTTAGAGGAGGATTTCTGAACCATACGAAATCTTCATTTCAATAAATTTTTCGTTTACTTTTTCTTTTTATAATGTGAAGACTTAATCGTATTCAGAATAAGAGGGAACCCTCCAAGACATACTGTGTTTGATGACGCAGTCAACCAGTAAAATAGCTTTTGAAGTCATTGGCACTCGTTCGCTACCAATTTCGCTTTTTCATTGCTACTCCATGTCTTTCGATCGAAATTCCACTACTGTACCCCTGGTTAGGTTGCGCTCATTACAATTTACTGATTTGGTTTTGAATTGATCATTAGTTGTGTATTTATCACTCAAAATCTGCTTGAACGACCTGAGGCGAGCGCGCCCGCAAAATCGCCGCGGTCCCACGTGGCCAAAAAAGCCAAAACTCGCGTTGTCGTCAATGTGTTGAAGTCACTCAGATAAAGCTAACAAAACAATCCTAAACGGTGTACAAACTCCATTCGAACAAAAGTATGCTCTGGAGTCACGATGAAAAGATATTCTTTTCAAAAAGGAATTAAAAAATTATAGAGATATAAGCTTTGTTTCACCCGAGTAAAAAAATAATTGAAGAACTCCTTTTGTCTAGACTGCGGATCACTCTCTGAAAATAAAAGTTCTAAAACAGAAACACATCTAACAACCGACTGTCGGAGTAGTGTCGGTGTCTGGGTGACGACGGTGGGAGAGGAAGGTGGAGAAGACTTGGAGGCAGTAGTAACTCTAACAGCTTCGGGATTCTTTTATAGGAGTTCATGGCTACGGTGATCGGACGGATAATCCCGATTGAAACCACTTGCGTAGCGTGCACTGTCGCGATCAGTCTTGCAGCCGCTCTGAGGTCGCACGCTTTCTGCCTCGATGATGTCAACAACAAAATAGCGAAGCATTGTGAAGAACACTTTTCGATTTTTTACTTTAGAAAAACATTTTTTTTTGCGTTTACAATTCTGCATTAGCAGTGTCTGAGACTTGCTCGCCTCAACACAATTGAGAAGCTATCGAAATTGGCACTCTGCTAACAAATAAATTCAATGTTAGAAATGAAGTCACCTCTTCACACAGCGTAGCATTGCGATTTGCGACTTGAAACTACAGTCCATATCCACCGGGTTGAGGGCGGTCCCACGGCCCAACCAGCGCGCGCCGGCGACAACGCGAGCAATCCGTCCTGCCGTCTGCATTCCTCCGCATGCACACTATCTTAGCAGTACGACGTAGCCTTTCCATCTGCGCTCTCGCCACTTTTCCGTCTGCGCTCTCGCCACGGTCGATCAATCGAAATTTATCAGCTGTTTTGAGCTGAATCCGGCTAATTTCGGTTAATATTCTCAACTGCGCGCTTCTTTTTCACAGGTAAGTAAAGTTTTAAACATGCTAATTTGCTTCTGCATGTATGTCAATTCATTGCCGCATTACTAGACAATTATCTTATTTTGTTTTTTGTTTTTTCTTATTGATTTAATTGAATTCGTTCGATTAAAAAAAAAAACAAGCATAATTGCTGCTGATGAGGAAATGGTTGACATAAAATCAATCAAAAATTATGCAGAAGCAGATTACATATTTGAAACTTACTTACCTGTAGAAAAGAAGCGCGCAGTTGAAAATACACTGCGTTTCATAATTATAGGTCCACCCTAAATTTTTGCTACCCCAAAGTTGCTGTGCATTTTTTGAAAATGCTGCTATCACCGTTAGATTCCTCATCACGGAAAACCTTCATAGTGTTTTTCTGACAAAGTTCCCCCCTCAAGTAACCCAATTAACTTTTTCAGAACGAATTTTCACCGTTTCATGAATATCGGGCCACTCATAAAAAGTTTCCATTTCTCACGATCCGTGAAGGGAATCAGGGAAGCGGGGAAATATGTGAGCTCAGTCGACATCGAGTTTACCATACCTCGTGTTACTCGCCTCTCTTCCCAGTAACAAGCTCAAGCCAGAGCACTTACTGAAGTGGGATGGCTGAGGAGCAGAATTTCCTCCCATGTCGGCCGGCTCATACTGCATAAGCGACTATGTGCAAAATCCTGGTCAGTGCGGAGAGAAGAGTAGCTTAGGTAAATAAAGACTGCGTTTCTTCAAGATTTAAGAGAGAATTGGGCGTCTTCTGTCGAATTGTACGAGGAGTCCCAACAATGTCCATGCTGAAATGCGGCCTTCCACGAGCAAAACCACCGTGTGGTGAATAAGCCAGCAGAGCAATAACATCCTCAGCGGATTGATGAAGAAGCGCGTTCCAAGATTATTTGAGCGCTACAAGATCGCACGTCTCCATTTCTCCGTGGAAAGCGCAACTTTATGAACGAAGGTTTGGCTGTTCAGACCCTTCGCGATCTTGGACTCTAGCTCCTTGTTTCGTGCTACAGGTGATCTGAGATCGACGTGAAAAAGTTTATTCTAGGTGGATCTGATAGAAAAAGAGGGTACAGGAGGGTTCCGTGGAAATCGCAGATGGTTTTGAATGTAAGGTAATTTTGGCGGAGAATCCCTTATGGTTTGAGGCACCTTTGAACGACTGAGCGGCTAGAGCTCGTATTTGTTTCCTTTCACAAGGATTCCATAGGGTATCGTGAAGTTCTTTTGAAGCGACTTTTACCATTTTTTCGACAACAGTCCCCTCGAACCTTGATTTTTACGCACGATAACGCGGCTGTCCATGCCGGTCCTTCCACGCCAGATGGAATTGCAGGAAAAAATGTGGCAGTTATCTGGTGGCCACCATGTTATCTGAATCAGATTCCAATAGAGAATCATTGGGCCTTAATTGTTATAAAGTTCCACAGCAAAGTAAAGCAAAATGGAACAGCCGAAGAGCCGAAAACGTCGATCATCAGCGCACAGACAAATTTCGATCCTAATGTAATAGCTAATTTGGTTACCAGCATTTCAAAAACGTATTATTGTGTTCCTTATGATTAATGGGGACCATCCCATTATTGAAAATTCGTGACGTTTTTTTGTTATAATAAAATCTCTCGACAAGTGATGTGTAGTCATATTTGCGAAACGGTGAAAATACGTTCTAAAGGAAGATATTTTAATATTCTGAATCGAGATTTCTCCAAAAATCAAGTATCAAGGTTTTTCGTTATGGGGAAACTATTGGTAATAGCGGCATTTTCCAAAAATGCACAGCAACTTTGGAATAGCAAAAATTAGGGTGGACCTATATTTATGAAACGCAGTGTATATAATGACCGATGATTAGCCGATTCACTCAAAACACTGAAACACATTTTGACTAATCGACGTGGCCGGAGAGCACGGACGAAACAGTTCGCCGAGACGCAGATGGATGCTACGTCGCCCTGCTAAGAATAGGAGTCGGGAGGAATGCAGACGGCAGGACGGATTGCTCAGACACCACTCAATCACTGGGATACGGCAACCTTCCCATCACCGCGTTGTCGCGGCCGCAGCGCTGGTACGTCCGTGGGACCGCCCCCTCAACCAGTCGGATATGGACTGTATGTGAAAAAATTTTTGGCACATTAATATGATAACTAGAAAGGGAATCTTATGGCGAAAGTAGGAAATAGGCCATAGAGAACAAAAAATTAGTAATTGCATTCGTGCGAATAATTCGCCAAAGACCACATATTGTGTTTACATACCTAAGCATTACATAACATGAAACCTTTTCGAAGAGTACCCAGCAGCAATAATAGCACATCAAAGGCACTGCTTGTTGTGGCAGAGGGTCACTTCAAAAAGCTAAAAGTGAGGGACACTTGACACAGCGTTTAAAATTCATGAAACGCGCCATGACAATGGTAGCAACGAAGTTGAACGCCTGAAAACATGTTAATGCTAGTTACAAAATAAGATCACCTTTATAGACGAAGCAGGAAGTCGCAGCGTAGGCAACAAAGTTATACAACTAGACTGGAATACAAATTAATCTCCCTATCAGTGGTCAATTGCCGCTTTTCCTGGCCGTTGTCACTTGTGGTGTGTGGCCTGCACTCCACGCTCTTCTCTTTTTCCGAAAACGGTAGTTCTTATTGCTCGGACCAACTTACAGTGTGATCGATGGTTATTTGCGGATGCATCACTATCGGACTTTTTCCAACTGCTCTGTACATAGTGTTTTTGTTGTCAATTAAAAAACGTAAACAGACAGTTTGGCATCATCGGCCTGCTCCGAGCACGATACTTGAAAACTGTTCCTTGTAATAGGGTGCTGCAGCTAGGCAAAGGGACGGTGTACAAAGAGTTAGGAACTGGAGACAATACCTACAATAGAAAGACCACTGGAATCCTTGTATATGGAAGAGAGTTTGAGGACAATTAAGACACTATCCAGCGAATGATATGAAGTACGAAGGAGAGGGTAGCGAAGAGAGTATCTAACTCCTCTGCGCTTGTCGCTCTTGGAGCCATTGTGACCCACATTCAATAGACATGACCGCAACACTATTTACTAAATGAAAGGCAGCGCTTACGACTTTTGTTATTACGGGTTTAAATGTGGTTTGGAGGGGACGAGGGGGTCCTCAATAGTACATCAGTGGCGAAAAAAGCAAAGAAATCCGTCAAAAATAAGCAAAATAGTACCCCTTTGATTGCCCTTTCATTTTCGACCATGGATGAGCGACGGTAAAGAACGACGTTGTTCGGACGTGTTAACCCCGATAGCCGCCATCATGCCAACAAGCATAGTGTTTGATTGATAAGGCATACGTGGGCAAGTTGGAAGATACAGCCGCTAGATGGGAAAAGATCATCCAAAATGAAAAGCCAACAGCAATCAGTCCATCCAGATCATCAACAAAACCAGTGGGCGGGGCGGCGCATGGGGCGGAAGGGCGCAATGGTCCTGCTCAGCAACCACAGCACTGTTCGCAGTGGAAGCGCCACACATCGCTTCCTTGGCGGCCTGCTAATTGCTCTGTGGGGAGCAGGTTCTCCGCAGATGTGAAAATTCCTTTCCGTACCTACTTCCTTTAATAATAGAATTATGGTCTGATAAATTCGTTTGTCTTCATAGCCTTTAGCTGTGAACATTTTGACACTTTTCAAGGACAAACCTATTAAAGATTATCGAGGTTGCATCGCAAGAGCTACTTGATTTCCGCCACACGCCTCAGCAGCTGAAACCGTAGCGGTTTTTGGAAGTCAACACTACTTCTACTAATGCTTCGCATGACAGTTGATTTTGAAATAGAGAAGAAATGACTTTATCATACAAGAGAAGAAATCATTTTATCATCATATATCATTTGCACCTCTGTTAACGAAGCCTATACTTAAAATAAAAGAATTAAATTGACGACTAATGGTAAGATGAAGACGGCAACGCGAATCCAAACACTATGAAGTCGTAGTAATAAATCTCCATCACGATATTCAGAAGGGTTTTATTCGAGTACAACTCCTGCTCTGCACGATGTCGATGTGTGGTGGAATATGTGGTGTGGTGCGACTTACCAACTAAAATCAAAGTCGAATTGTTATCTTCAAAATGTGAACAGTTAATGATTTTCTAAAGTTTTTAAGAATTGGTCTTGCTATCGCACCATCCCTCTGCTATTGAAGAAAAGTGGTGAGAGGATCTTTTTGCGGAACACGCAATGTTTTTATCACGGCAGAACTCTAAATCTCAAGGGGGGAGGGTCTGGAGCCGAAGAGGGTGGAGTCAACAACAATAAGGTACACGGTACAAAGCAAATAAGGTTTCAAGCAACTGATAAACTTTTTTGTAAAAGAAGATACAAAATTGTATTAGCCTAAACACTTGTTGTGCTTGGCTCGTCATACTTTTTGATTTGCTCTGTTGTGTGTACATGAAATGTAGATCTCCTCAAATTTGGATAATTATTTGGGTATTTTGGAACGTTGCCGTCACAAATAAAGGGACTATGTAGTCAACTCACAGGGCTAAGAAAATGACGTTTTGCAAAATAGCGGATGCATAAAATAATATATTCCGTTGTACCCGGTCTCGAACCAAGATGAAAACGGAGGATTGTCACCGTGGCAGCAACCCTTCCGCCGTATAAATTTGTTGTTGCTAAAGAAACGACAAATACAGGGGTGGCCAAAAAAGAGACACTTAGCCCATGGCGCACATCATCGAACTTTTCGTCGCACAGGGAGCCGATGTTAATGAAAGTTTTACGGCAGAATATTCCTTAGGTGTTCCCCCGTAAACAGAAGCAGGCCCTCCTTCACTGCCCCGCCGTCTTCAGAATATGACGTCATCTGCCGTCACCGTCGAGCTCAACGAGGCTTACCGTAATCGCTCCGGCCTGAAGCTGCTACATAATTTCTTCAATGATTAACTGTTGAATAGCTTCCCAGAGACATTAGCTGTGAATGTGCAAAACCGCTTTTGACCTGCGTTTCGTAACGTCTATGGTATCTCAACGACCTCGTTGAGATCGTACCGCGCACAATGCTTCCGTGGGAAAATCTTCTGATGTCGTCGGTGTAGAAGGCTGTTGTGTAGCTTGTTGATAGATTATAACGTGCTCTTCAACGAACAGGCAGACCGCTCTGCGTAAGGATCAAGGAATACCTAGACGGGCTCAAAAAGGCCAAAAGTTCCACCCCTCTAGGTGACCACAAGGTGCAGTATCACGAAAATGCCAACATGGTAGTGAAGGTTACGATCTTGGCATGCGAACAGGAGATATCTGCCCGCAGAACCCTTGAAGCCATGTGGATTGCAGCAAAGGACCCAAAGATCAACAGGAAGGACGAGTGCATGGCGATTACTAGGCTCGAGCTTTCGCCACCCTTTTCGGACCCTCTGTGGGTTTTTCTCAATGCCGCCGCGTGGCGCCTGAGCCGGGGACTTCGGGCTTTCACTCAAAATCGATTTGCGACGAAAGGGATCCCAGCAGGTACCATCATTTTCGCGGGTTCTAGGGGTATTGATCTACGTGATCAATCCTGGGGGGTCCATCAAATGCTATAATCTGACCCTTAAAATTCAAATCTCACCTTGGGGGGTTCCCTTAAGCTATATGACCCGACCCTTAATGTGCGAAAACACGTATAAAAGCAACCCCGCACGGTCTTTAAGCAAAGGGTGCCTTCCAGCTCTCGGCTTTTGTAAAGGTTAGCGGGTTTTTGTCACTGTTCATGGCTTTCTATCCCTTAGTTCTTCTTCTTGTAATCCGAAATGACGGTTGGATGAATTGTTTCAAGAATATGCTTCGATTTGCAGGCTCCGAAGAAGGCGAGTGCGCCGAAACGTAAGCCGAAATAAAGTTCTGTATCAATCTCGGAAGCTCGAAGAGAAGCAACTAATACTGTGCTCTTCAATATTCAGATGGGTTCATTTGATCTGGCTTGCAACGCGTAAATAATTTCGTTTTGAATGTGGAGTGAAGTGTCTCCTTTTTGGCCATCCCTGTATATACAGGGGGGGCCAATAAAAAAAGACATTTTGTCTCCACTTCCAGATGGATTTAAGCACACTTTGCTCAATTCAGACCGAATGGTTCCAACTTTATTATTGAAGAGCGCATTCCATTCTATAAGAAAATCTTCATAGTGGCCACCTACGTGGACGGCATCAGAAGAATTTGCCCTGGAAACATGGTGCACTGGTCGAGCTCAATGGGGTCTTCGAAGGATCGTGTACCATAACGACCTTTACTGGAAAGCTAGTTCCGAGGGGATTTGCATAGTGGGAGCTAATGCCTCTAGAAAACTATCCAACATTAAATCGATTCACGAAATTATGTAAGAGCTTCAGGCTGAAGCAGTTACGGTAGGCCTCCTTGAGCTTGACGACGGTGACAGATGACGTCATATTCTGAAGACGGTGAGGGCAGTGAAGGAGGGCCTGCGTGTACTTATAGAGGGACATTTAGGGAATACTCTGCTGAGGAACTCCCGTCAACGACGGCAATCTCTGCGAAGAAAAAAGGGCCGAAGTGCGACATGGGCAAAATGTCTTTTTTTTGGCCCCCCCTGTATATACAGGGGGGCCAATAAAAAAAGACATTTTGTCTCCAGACTTCTCAGATGGATTTAATCACACTTTGCTCAACTCAAAGCGTGTGCTCCCAACTTAGAATTGAAGAGCGCATTTCATTTCATAAGAAAATCTTCATAGTGGCCATCTACGTGGACGGCATCAGAAAATTTGCCCCGGAAACATGGTGCTCTGGTCGAGCTCAATGGGGTTCTCGACTGATCGTGTACCGTTACGACGGGTTCCGAAGGGCGGGTTCCGAGGGGGTTTGCATAGTTAGAGCTAATGTCCCTAGGAAACTATCCCACGTTGAATCGATCCAAGAAATTATGTAAGAGCTTCAGGCTGAAGCAGTTACTGTAGGCCTCCCTGAGCTCGACGACGGTGACAGATGACGTCATATTCTGAAGACGGTGAGGGTAGTGAAGGAGGGCCTGCGTGTACTTATAGAGGGACATTTAGGGAATATTTTGCTGAGGAACTTCCGTCAACGACGGCAATCTCTGCGAAGAAAAAAAGGCCGAAGTGCTGGGCAAAATGTCTTTTTTTTTGGCCCCCCTGTACAATGGGTTTCGGAAAGTTCCCGCCTCTTCAGGAACTCACTTAAGATTTTTGCACGAGTCCCCCCCCCCAAGTCTAATCGGAAATGTGCGGAAGCAAGTCTCGTGATCAACTGAGCATTTGGTCCCGTGAAAAATTCGCTGTGCAGTTGTGATTCAGCACGTCTTTCTCGCGATGATGCAAGCTTCGAAGAAGATTGGGATGATGGTCGGTTATTAGAGACTGTAAACGATTGAAGGCGGACCCCGTGATTGGCCCGACTAGGAAGGATACCGCGAGGGAAATTGTGGGGACCGTAACTTCATACATCGTGCCAGCTTCGTCTCCTAAATTGCGCGATTAGACCCGCTCATCCTTTAGCGAAATCTGCAAGCCAATCGAACCCTCCTGCAACGCTTCCCACCCTATCACTGTCTGATCCCCTTATATATCAGCATGCTCTTTTGGAGGGTTCCTCGCGTGTGGTTTGTTCTCCTTTGATCACCCTGTCTTTCCATCGCACCACATCCGACGTCACTATAAGTTAACGCCCTAACTTTGGCGTTTTCGGGATTTCTCTTACTTTCCTTCCCAATCCAGGTCCCTCCGCAGCTCAGTCATCATTCCCTGTACCTTATCACCACCCTTCCATCACGTCGTATCGGTGCCTTTACCTGAGGTTTTGCTCAACCCCAACTCTGCATGGAACAACAGCATGTCTTATTAGGCCGCCGACTGAGGTCCCGCCGCGCTTCCAAATACTTACAGGCTGCCAGAGGACATTTCAAAGAGGTCGTAAATGGGTGCCGCCGTCTCTTTTCACAGCAGATGCGCGGCAACTCCTGGCACTTTCAGCCGTGCACAAGTCGAATGATCTAGGAAAACTAAACTGCAAACTCCTTGCACAGTACACCACTTGCCTACCAACTGCTACTTCTCCAGCCATCTGGACAGTCTTTTCAAAAGATCAAACGTTGAAACTCAACATGACGATGAAACGACGTTCGCCAAGTTCTTTGCTACAGAACCCTAACACTTTCAACATCCTGACCTTTTAAACGCTCATCTCTTGGGCAAAGTCATTGGGATTGTGATAGTTTTTATTCCGACCAAAAATGCCTTGTTTGGATCGAGATATGCACTTTCGAATTAAAGGGTCGAAATCGTCCGAAACTTTCCGAGCATTAACTACGGGCAATTCTCAGAATATACGGCATAACATCACGCTTTATCAGCATCTCCGAAAAACTGCTTCTTCGTGCTGCGTAAGGGCAAATAACGGATATACACCGCTCTCAAAATCACTACAGGAAAGCGACAGTTATGCATTCTACACCACTTCTATTCAAGATCTGCTTGGTCTTCTGTCATGAGAAAGGGTGAGACGAACGGCAACAAGAATAAATTGAGATAATCCAGGAACTCTCCACAGAATTGGATGACACTGCGCCTACAAATAGAAATTGGATGACACTGCGCCTACAAATAGAAAGGCGTTTGCCCCTATGATTCGCTAATGGTCTTCAACGTCGATACGATGCAAAAAATGTCGCCCAGTTTGCTTAACAGTACGAGAGGACTTAAGAAACAAGTCAGTAGCATATTATACCCAAGATGGCCTCAGTGATCTCGTCTCGTTCATGCCGAGGAACTCCGGAATAGCTCAAAACTTTTTCCATTTCGCTGGCCATTTTGTGAATACCAAGTGAAGTGCGATCGTATTTTATCAATATATATTTTCGTATGTGCTCCTTGAAGTTGCAGTACCTGGAACATTGCGAAACTGCAGAGAGGCACTGAGAAAAGAAGTAATACCATTCAACGTTTACCAAGTTTGAGGCGCCAGATGATTTGTGATGAAGAAATTGTATGTGGGGTCGTTTTTCTTGTAGACATCCCATAAATGGTTGCGAAATCTTTCGACAAAGCAGCTGAGACTTCGATTACAACC